AGGTGGGCTTTAAGGTTTCAAAGGCCTAGCCAGGCCCTGTGTCTCTACCTCTGAATCAGGTTATAGCTCTCAACTACTGTTCCAGCATCTGCCTGCATACTTCCATGATCCCCTCCATGATGATGGACTAACTCTCTGAAACTGTAAGCAAGCCCCCAGTTATCCCTTTTCATGATAATTGCCTTAGCCACTGGGTCTCTTTAGAATAGGAGAACAGTGACTAGACAGTTACCCAGTAAATCCTAGATGCTTCCAAATTTTATGTTTTTTTATTCTTTTTTTTACAGTTTTTTTCCTTATTTATTTATTTAAAGAATTTCCACTTCTCCCCTCCTCCCAATACCCTCCCGCTCCCACTTCCCCTACTCCCTCTCCCCCTCCCTCCCCATTCCCAAGAGCAGTCAGGGTTTTCTGCCATGTGGGAAATCCTAATTCCTCCCCCCTCCCTCCAGGTCCAGGAAGGTGAGCATCCAAACAGATCAGGATCCCGAAAAGCCAGTCCATGCAAATGAATCAAGACCCAGTGCCATTGTTAATGGCTTCTCAGTCAGCACCCATTTCAGCCACATTCAGAGAATCCGGTTTGATCACATGCTCGTTGAGTCCCAGTCCAGCTGGCCTTGGTGAGCTCTCATTCAATCAGTCCCCTTGAATCAGTGGGTGAACGCACCCTTCGCAGTCCTGACTTTCTTTTTCATGTTTTCCTTCCTTCTGCTCTTCATTTGGACCTTGGGGGCTCAGTCCAGTGTAAGAGTCAGCACTTTCCAATGGATACCCACGCCCGACCCAGGCTGCGCGCTTCCTGAACTCGGGCCCACGAGAAGGGACGATTGTCCTGAGGGTTGAAAAAGGAGACACACACACAAAAGAAACCTGGCTCATCTACAAGAGTAAATGGCAACTTTATTAAACATAAGTCGGGTATATATACTGTGAGACAGAAAAACACCAGCCCCTCATCAGGAACAAGGAAAGAGAAAAGTCAGGGGGCTGCACCCAAGGTTGGAGAGCAGCTGAACAGAGAAAAGAGGAAGCCAGGTGGGCGTGCTCAGGCTCAGAGAAAAGCTGACCCGGGAACCTTGCCTGCAGCGAGAACCTTGCTTGCAGGTGGAATTACCATAACAGTAAAGGGAGAGTTCTCTCTAAGCTACACCCTTGGGCCGTAGGTGAAATTAACATAACAGGAGAGGGCAGTTCTATGCTACACCCTCAAGCTGATGCAGTGGAACCAGGAAGCAGAACAGCCCTGCAAAGCGCCTTGGGAAAAATGGGGAACCTGTGTACCTACAGTCCAGTGCTCCAATGGGGGTTTCCGTCTTTATCTCCATCCATCATCAGATGAAGGTTCCCTCTGGTTCTGCTTTCGTTGCTCACAATCTCCCTCCCTCTGCTTCTCATTTGGACCTAGGGAGTTAAGTCCAATGTTCCAATATGTATCTCTGTCTTTATCTCCATTCTTCGCCATATGAAGGTTCTTTATAAGTTACTTGACCTTTTTCCTTCGCAGCTCTTAATATCCTTTCTTTAATCTGAATGCTTTGTGCTTTGATTATTATATGGCGAGGGGATGTTTTTGTCTGATCCAGTCTATTCGGTGTTCTGTATGCTTCTTGGACCTTCATAGGAATATTGTTCTTTAGGTTGGGAAAGTTTTCTTCTATAATTTTGTTGAATATATTTTCTGGACCTTTGAAATGCAATTCTTCTCCTTCTTCTACCCCTATTATTCTTAGATTTGTTTTTTTTTTATTATGTCCCAGATTTCCTGAATGTTTTGTGATGAGAATTTGTTGGATTTTCTGTTTTCTTTGGTCAGAGCGTTTATTTTCTCTATGGTGTCTTCATAATCTGAGATTCGTTCTTCTATCTCTTGTATTCTATTGGTTATGCCTCTTCCTGAAGTCTCTGTTTGTTCACCTAGCTTTTCCATATCCAGTCGTCCCTCGGTTTGTGTTTTCTTCATTGTCTCCATTTCAGTTTTCAATTCTTGAACTGATTCCATTACCTGTTTGATTGTTTTTTCTTGGTTTCCCAGGGTATCGTTTACGAGTTTACTCATTTCTTCAAACTTTTTATTATATTTCTCTTCTATTTCTTTACTCATTTCTTCAATCTTTTCGTTATATTTCTCTTCTATTTCTTTAAGTGAGTTATTCATACCCTGTTTAAGAGACTCGATTGCTTTCATAATGACACTGTTTTCCACTTCTTCCGGAATATGGTGTTCAAGTCCTTCTGTTGTAAGATCGCTGGGATCTGGTGTTTTCATGTTGTTTTTCAGATTGTTGGAGGAATTCTTGCCTTGGTGCCTGCCCATTTCTTCCTTCAGATGCTCTCCAATGGCTCTTCTTTCTGCTGGGTTTTCTGCTATGGAATTAGTGCCCATTGCTGGCTAGGAATCACTTTGCCTGCAGTCCTACCTTGCTGCAGGCAGGCTATTAAAACAAAAGGAACTACCTCCTGTTTGCACTCACCGCCCTGTCCCAGTGGTGCCCACCCAGGCTGAGTTGGAGGATTTTATGCCCTGAAAAGGGGAGAGAGGAAGGAAAGGGGTTCCTGGCTGAAAGCCGTGATGGGGTAGGGGGAGAGAAGGTTTAGGTGGCGGAAGCCGCCCCTTCGGAATACCCAGGGAGATAAGGATGGTGGGAAGATAGTGTGTTCCCTTCCCCGGGCTTGTGTGGCAGATCAGGAACACACTTACCCCTCCATTGTATCTCCTGCTACAGGATCAGTGCCACTTGCTGGTCAGAAATCTCCCTGCCTGCCTGTCTTTTTATTCTTAAGTAAATCCATGTGATTTACTTTTTTTTCCTATGTGATTTATACCTTTCTTTAACTTCTTTGTGGTTTCTGTTACAACGTGAATTTCAGGTTTTTTTAAACATTACATTCTTTACCTCTGAATGGTACTCTAATGTGTATATATTCCACATTTTCTTTATCCATTCTTCCATTTTGAATTTTGCATGCAAACGGATGGAAATAGAAAACACTATCCTGAGTGAGATAACCCAGACCCAAAAAGATGAATATGGTATGTACTCACTCATCAGTGAACTCTAGTCATTAACAAAGGACATTAAGCCTAGAGAAGCCAAATAACATGGTGAACCCAAAGAAAAACATATATAGATCCTCTTGGAAATTGGAAGCAAACAGGATTGCCAGGCAAAAGTTAGAAGCATGGGGGTGGGGATAGGGGTAGGGGTGAGTTTGGGGGAAGGGGAGAGGGGAGAGAGATGGGAGAAGGGAAAAACATGGAGAGAGCTTGGGGGAGTGGGAGGGTGGAGATGGATGAAGGGCGGATATAGGAGCAGGGAAGAAGTTATCTACATTAAGGGAGTCATTTTAGGGTTGGCAAGAGACTTGGCTCTAGAGGGGAACCCAGGTGTCCACAGGGATGTCCCCAGCTAGGTCCTTGGGCAGCAGAGTAGAGGGTGCCACTAACACACTGATGATTATCTCGAATATCACCAAAGAATCTTCTCCTGGCAACGGATGTAGATTGAGACAGAGACCCTCATCAGAGCAACAGACTGAGCTCCCAAGGTCCAATTGAAGAACAGAAGGAGGGAGAAGATGAGCAAGGAAGTCTGGACCGCGAGGGGTTCATCCACCCACTGAAACAGTGTGCCTGTTCTAATGGGAGCTCACCAATTCCAGGTGCACCGGGACTGAATGAACATGTGACCAAACCGGACTCTCTCAATGTGGCTGAAATGGGGGGCAGATTGAGAAGCCGTTGATAAAGAACCTTCATCTGGCGATGGATGGAGATAGAGACAGAGACCCACGTTGGAGCACTGGACTGAACTCCGAAGGCCCAGATGAAGAGCAGAAGGAGAGAGAACATGAGCAAGGAAGTCAGAACCGTGAGGTGTGTGCCCACCCACGGAGACGATGGGACTGATCTAATGGGAGCTCACCAAGGCCAGCTGGAATGGGGCTGAATGAACATGTGATCAAACTGGACTCTCTGAATGTGGCTGACAATGAGGGCAGACTGAGAAGCCAATGATAATGGCACCGGATTTTTATTCTACTGCATCTACTGGCTTTTTGGGAGTCTAGTCTGTTTGGATGCACACCTACCTAGACCTGGATGGAGGGGGGAATTTTTAACAAATAAATAAATAAATAAATAAATAAATACATAAATAAATAAACCATTACATTCCTTGCTGACTCAGAAAATAAATTGTTAAATTGCATATTATATAAGGTGTGTATGTACATAGTAAAATGATTACTAAAGTCAAGCTAGTTAACATGTCTATGACTTTTTTAAATTCTTAAATGACATTTATGCATTAAAATCAAGTAAGTTACACAAGTAACACTGTTGAAATGATACAAAAATCTCTACTGAATTAGAGGACTGGTTCTATTTCATGAGGTGTTGTGGATCTATTTAAATTGTTTATCTGGTCTTGATTTAACTTTGGTCAGTGGTGCCTAATGAGAAGATTATCCATTTATTTTAGATTTTCAAATTTGGTGGGGTTCAGGTTTTTAAACTATGCCTTATGATTATCTGAATTTCCCCAATTTCTGTTGTTATGCCCCCTTTTCACTTCTGACTTTATTAATTTGAATATTCTTTCTCTGTCCTTTGGTTAGTTTGGATAAGGGTTTATCTATCTTGCTGATTTTCTTAAAGAATCAACTCTTTTTTCTCTTTGTATTGTTCTCTTTGTTTCTATTGTACTGATTTCAGCACTAAACTTGATTATTTCTTGCTATCTACTCCTCTTGGGTGTGTTTACTTCTTCTTCTTCTAGAACTTTCAGGTGTCTGTTAAGTTGCTGGTATAAGATCTCCAAATTTTTTATGTAGGCACTTCGTGCTATGAACTTTCCTCTTAGCACCACTTTCATTGTACACTGTAAGTCTGGGTGTGTTGTACATTCATTTTCATTGACTCCTAGATAATCTTTAATTTCTTTCTTCATTTCTTTCTTGACCCATTTCTCATCCAGTAGATAGTTGTTCAGTTTCTATGAGTTTGTAAGGTTTCTGTTGTTTCTGTTGATATCCAGCTTTAATCTGTGGCCATTTCATTCGAACCACAACAAAGTGTCTTTGGACATCTTCTTTGGGAAAGGTAAAACAAAACAAGATAAAAACCCCACAAAACTACACAGTTCTGCAACTGTGTAGCTAACACATGCTGAGTATTATCAAAACAATATAGACACAATGTGTGGATTTTTGAAGGACCTTATGGCCATCATTTACTTATGATCTGGAATTAAGCCTGGAAAATAATGGAGGAGAACATGTAACTTATGGCCATTTTTTTTAAAAGATTTATTTTTATTTTATGTGCATGAATGTGTTTGCCGGCATGTATGTGTGCAAGCAGTGTCTGAGGGAGTCAGAAGAGGGAACCAGATACTTTGGAGTTACTGATGATTCTTAGCAGCCTGTGGGTGTTGGAGGTAAAACTCAGATATTCTACAAGAACAAAAAGTACTCATAAGCATGCCTCCACATGCTTCAGCACCACAGAAATATCTTTTTAAAGGCAGTAATATAGTTTGATTGTTACTTTTTCCTAGTTTCTTGCACTGTGACCAAAATATTTCTAGCATATGGTCAATCCTTAAAACTTTATAAATAATGTTGTGATTTGATGAGCCTAAGATAGAGAAGTGGCCTTGTCACTAGATGAAGGAGCTCCCCTCACAGCCTCCCTTGCTGTGATGCACTGGAGGAGGTCCATGTGTCATTCCTCCCCACTTCAGCTACTCTCTTTTCTTCTTCTTTCCAGATTTAGAAAATGTCTGGCAGCAAAAGAGGCAACACTTTGTGATGACGAATATCACAGTCACCACACAGGCAAGCAGAAATCCAAGCACGTCCAGAGAGTGGTACTGGTACCAGGTGAGGTCATGCGCTCCCACACGAAGGTGCTTGGCTCCCTTGTGGCGCATGACATACTCTATCCAGAAGACAGCTCTATCCAGGGGCTTCACTGGTTGGTCGTGGTGGATTCTTGATAGCTGCATGGCGCTCTCCTTAAAGCTGAAGACAGATGTAAAGGAGAAGCACAAAAACATGAACACTGAATGTTAATTATTTACTGAAGAGCATCAGGCCTGTGAAAGTTTCGAAAAAGCATAATGAGATTGAGTGTTGTCATACAAGAGCAGAAGGAGAAGTATGGCTTGGGGTAGGGCATGTTTGAAAGTTAGCCTGCAAATTGGAATTCTCTGAGAAGTACTTTTCAAAAATGAAATGAAAAATACTTTTGAGAACTGAATCTTTTCAGGACATTAAATGTTATTAAGTCATTGTAACCACTGTAAGTGATATAGTTGAATGCAGAATGAACATATTGATGATTGAGGACAGATTATGCCATGAAATTCTTTCAAATCTCAACAAAAAAATCCTTATCACTGATTAAAAACAGATCAATGGTGAGAAAGATACGTGTCTTTCAAAAGATGATATAAATATTGAGGATGTAGCTCATTGATATCCTGCTTGGAATGTCCAACAGCCTGAATTCAACACAAACACAATACCCATATATTGCCTGCCAAGCATGCAAAGAAAGTATGATTCTTTTAAAAAACATATTTATATGTGGTACGTGTGTGCCTACATGTGCATGCATGTACACAGTACACGTGTGGAGGTGAGAGGACAACTTATAGGAGTCAGTTCACTTCCTCCACCACATGAATTCCAGAGATTGAACTCATGCAGCTAAGACTGATATAAATAATTGTTCCCCAATCACCCACATGTTCATGTTAGAAAGTGGAAATCTTACTGAAATTGGTTAGAGTGTAATGTGGTATGGATACTATGAAAAAAATCCACATATTTCCTACTACTAGGAGTCTATTTAAAGAAATAGTAAATAATCTATCAAACAGATACCTGCATGTCCATGATTTTTGCAGCACTAGCCATAATAGCTAAGTGAATTGACTGAGGTGCCCATTGTGGGATGATGGCTAAAAAGTGATATGAAAGTATTGAATATGTTTTATATTAGATAATATAAACGATATATATTATTCAGTCATTACAGAGAAGATATCTGCAGTTACAAGATGCAATTGGAGGATGTTTTATTAAGTCATGTAATCCAGATCCTAAGAGAAAACACTGCATATTCTGACCAATGTGTGGAAACTACTAGAGCTGACTTCATAGAAGTAGAGAGTAGAGCAGTAGTAACTGCAGTCTGGGAAGTGAGGGAGGGAATGGGGCTAGAGAGAGGTCAGCTAACAGATACATCTTACTACTGAATAACAGGATAGTGCACTAGAGCAGAGGCAGTGACTGTGAGCTACAATACACAAGTTTGATAAGAAGTGGAAGGGGAACATTGAACAAATGAGATACTAAAAGTTTAAGGTGATGGAAATGTGAGTATTCTGATTATGCTTTATTCATTTTATGTATGTATGTATGTATAATTAGCTACTCTTGAATAAATGTGAATTATTTAACAACAGGAGTTTTGGAAACTGTAGACATTGAATTGATACATTTTTCATCTTTCAGATTCAATATCTGTTTGTTGATTTGATCATCTTTGAGGCATTTGTGTCTTTCATTTAGCAAGAGAAAAAGGGTCCCAGTGCCAAAGTCTTGTAAGCTAAGTTCATGTACAGTAAGTCTATGAGGGTAGCTTGAGTCTTGGTTTACAATAAAAGCTCATCCAACAGTGGTTAACAGATTTTTCTTTAAGATTAGAATAATATTAGATGAAATCCACAGTTGTTGTTGAGGAAATTTATCTTGAACACTATGAATTAAAAAAAATCAGTGTACTCACGAAGGGTCATTAGTGACTGTCTTCACTGCACGGAGCAAATCTGTGCTGGACATTGTGTGAAAGTCCAGTCGAACCCCTGCTCCTTTGGTCTTCATGCGAACAATATTGTCAAATTGGTCTCCAAACAAAGGAATGCCCACCACAGGGATCCCATGGTAGATCGCCTCGTAGATGCCATTGGTGCCACCATGAGTTATAAAAGCTCTGGTTTTAGGATGACCTAGCAAGTAGAGAAATTAAGAACAAGTATCAGTCATAACTCTAGAAAGAAAATGAGTCAGGGAAAAAGGCACAAAAAAGGTAAAAATTCTCTGCACAACATTATCATAACCATGGGACTGTACTGAATTCCTCTCATGTCTTAGCACAAGGAGCACGTCAAGTGCACAGCGATTCAGCGAGAGTCACAGAGAGTAGGCAGAGTGTGAAAAATAGAAAGATTTTGTGTAATGGACCAAAATGGCAGAGCTCCAAGTGGAGCAAACAGCTTGTTCAAGCACAGTCAGTTGTTCAGGAGAGAATGTTCTCCTAAAGTAACAGAGAAGTCAATGCTCTGAAATGGGTTGGCTCCACATAATAGGGATTGGGTGTTCATTTCAATGGAATCAGACTGAGGGCAGTAAATACTTCACCATGTGTAGGACCATTTCATGTTGTGGAGTCTTCGGGGGAACAGAGTAAATGAAGAGTTATTAATGAAAGAATACCATTCCCATTGACATTAAAAATTGCCCTACAGTACGGGAACAGGAAGATGTTAAGTATAGAAATAAGAAATGGAGGGAAATAAAGGACTTAAATATATCTGAATAGTAATTATAGTGAGGTAAAAATGGATCCTCCCATCTCAAATATTACAGTCCAGCATATTCACATTAGTTCTTCATCTGTTTTCTCCAGGACTACAGTTGTCATAAATGCATTAATGTGGACATCCCCTCTCCTGAGGAGTCATTCCTATGTCTCAGGCATCTCCCAATGCTTACCGAGAAGGTCATTCTGGGGAATCCATTTGTACAACCGTGTGTTGGAGCCCAAGGTGTCTGGCTTCTTGCCTTCAAATCGCCAAAGAACCTGTTAAGATGAAGCTAGCCTCTTATTACTTTGGTCAAATGTCAAGTTATTACTGCTAGAATTCTGGAGATATTAAGAATCAGTGGAGATAAACACTGGTCCCTAAGGGCCAGGCAGTGAGGATGGATGATGGGAACCATGAAGAACTGCTACAGCAAGGCTGCAAGTTCTCTTCACTGTCCTGCAGTTAGTCTCATGCTTATCCAAGCTTCAGCCTGGCACCTTAACGTTAAGTCAACAGCAACTTAGGTAAAGTTAGGCTCAGTAATGTTAAACAGAAGTTAAGAACAGTGTGAATGTAATTCCAGTTCAACAATCCATCAAAGTTACAAATATATACCAGGTTTTGTGTTTTTCGGCATATATTTGTAACTTTTATTTTCCAATTTCCCTATAAATATTTGTCCTTGGTATTTGATTTAGTTCATGTATAATCACTATTAACCTCAGTATTTTATTATACTAGATCCTTGTGATATGACATATGGTCACGTCAAGAGCAAGTTCCTATGTTACCCCTTGTTTCAGAATTCATAGACTAAGACCTCAGTTGGAATTGAGGTTGGAAAATCCTGTCCTACCTACTTTATTTTTTTGAATAGCAGGGTAAACAGTACCATGCATAGGCCCATTTTGAAATGTGGATGATGGAAAATGCAGTGGGTTTTAAAAAATACTTAAAACTACTATTTAAATTAAAAATGTGGTTGATCATATTTGGCCGAGAACACAAAGGATGATATAATCCCCATTCCAGCATTTAAACTTATATTTTATATTTTCTTTATTTAAAGAAGGTTTTTTTTAACCAAATAGTATATTCTGTTTATGTTTTCTTCTTCTCTAAACCCTCCCTTGACTGTCATCTCCTCCTATCCAAATCTATTCTTTCTTTCTCCCTGTTTTTGGGAAGAAACAATCATCTAAACCAATGGTTTAGACCCTTGGGTTTTGACCCCTTTGGAGATCAAATGACCCTTTCACAGAGGTTACCTAAGGCCATCAGGAATATCACACATTTACTTTATACTTCATAACATTAGCAAAATTACAGTTATGGAGTAGCAGCAAAAATAATTTTATGTATGTGTGTCACCACAACATAAGTAACTGTATCTCTCTAACATTTCTAAGCCACATACCCCTACCATGTAATGTATGAACTCGGTGTGGCTGAACCATGACAGAATTCACCCCAAAATATATCTTACAACACAAACTAGCATTTATCATTTGTCCCGTATTTCTGTGTCACAGGTGGTTTCAGGCATGAGCTATAGCTAGCATGACACCTTTAGTTTCCCATACGCGATTTCTGAAATCACACGTGAATAGGATATGACCATCTTAGTGAGAATGAATCTCTGAGGTACTGTATCTCACCTTCTGTGGAATCTGTGCAAGGCCTGCTGCAATCACATTGGTCCTTTCTTCTGTTAGGTTACTCACAATGGACCCCAGGGAAAATACCACAACACCATGTTCTCCAGAAGACTGGACGAAGTCTTCTATTTCCTGTTGATGAAATATCAGCCCATCATAAACAACAGCAACACCAAACAACCTGCATTAAAACTGACACCAACATCCTCAGGAAGAAACCGAGCAACATTAGAAATGATTAGAGTAGTGGGTTTTTTAAAACTCTTCACATCCACATATAAGATGTAGAACTGCAGTCTTTTAGAAGGTTTCAGTTCTGTATTACACATATGTACATGCTCAAACAGCCTTAGACACAGCCATCTTTTTAAATTATAATATTAAAAAACAAATTTGTAATGTTAAATCCAAAATTTTCTTTTCCTTTCCTAATTTACTGTAACTTATGTTTATGTTCTCATAATTTTGACTAGTCTAGTTATGATAATGATCCCTATGGTATTTTCATATTATTTTACTTCTCTGTGATATCATTATGGTTCTTATAGGTTATATCATGTGTCCTTATTCCCTATAATTTAAGGCTTAGCTATATGTTTTTGTATGGATATACTGTTATTCTTAAGTAAAATCTATTAGTTGCTGCTTCATATATAATTACTCTTCCACAGCTATTTTCTTGAGATACAACAATCACTTTTATTACATGAATACTCAGGAGTGGTGCACAAAATCTATTTCTAATTCATTGAAAACTTCATTTTCTTTTAGTATTGGTTATATTTTAGTAGAGATTAGTTAGTTTTTTGGAAAGATATTTTCTGTTTGATATCACTCTCTTTTACTGTGTATAAATGTGCAACTGTGTATGCATATATAGGATGTATAAATATGTATTTGTTGGCAAGAAAGTACTTATTCTTGTATGTTTCCTTTAAGAAGCAGAGAAAGCAATTGTGCACCTCTGAAATATAGTATTTTTTTGGCCAGACTATAGTGGTTTGAATAAAAAGGTCCTTACAGACCCACAGTGAGTGGTACTATCAGGAGGTATGTTCTTGTTGGAGAATCTGTGTCCTTGTTGGAGGAAGTGTGTCAATGGGGGTGGGGCTTTGAGGTTTCAGTTGCTCAAGCCAGGCTCAGTGTCATTCTCTTTTCCTGCAGTCAGATGTAGATCTCTCAACTCTTTTTCCAGTGCTATGTCTTCCTGCATGCTGCCATACTTCCTTTCTTGAGGAGAATGGACTAAACCTCTGAACTGTAAGCAAGTCCCAATTAAATATTTTCCTTTATAAGGGTTGCCATGGTCATGGTTTCTATTCACAACAATAGAAACCCTAAGACAAAATTATATCAGTTTTATCTCAGGTCATTTTGTGTGGGAGAATGACCTGTATTCTGTCTATCATATTTTAAATAAATGCTGATTGGCCAGTAGTCATGCAGGAAGTATAGGCGGGCCAACCAGAAAGGAAGTAGAGGTGGATCTATGAGAACAGGAGAATTCTGGGAAGGAAGAAGCCCATTCCTTTACAGTCCTGATCCATCCACAGAAGCAGCAAAATGTGACTGAAAAAGGTGCCAAGCCATGTGGCTAACACAGATAAGAATAATGGGTTAATATAAGTTCTAAGAGTTCGTAAGAATCCTGAGCTAATGGACCAATCAGTTTATATCTAATGTAAACCTCTGTGTGATTTCTTTGGGACATAATGATTGAGGTAACTTGGGAGGACAGAAACCCTGACAACAATTTAGTTCAGGACTTGGTTCTTGGCTCATATCTCTGAATTTTGTGCTCATTTATTGTTTTTTTTACGTACTCAAATTTTTAGCAATATTTTATTTATTATTAGAGAATTTCATTCAATGTATTTTAACAAAAAACTTTCTCTTTCCAACAATTCTTCTCTTTACCATTCCATTCTTTTCCTCTAAACTTTGAGAAATTTTCTTTTTTCTCTCATCTTTCCCCATTGCAACATGAGTTTTATTTTTCCTTTCTTTTTAAAATTTCCTGTTTTTAATAAAGAAAACAAGCTATCCTTTTTCATTTTACATACCATTCCCAGTTCCCATTCCCTTCCCTCCTCGTATTCCCTCCACTTACCTGCCCTGCTGCCCTGCTCCCATCTACTCCTCAGAGATTGTGAACTGAAACATCTACTGATGCTAGTGAGGATGTAACTTGTATTTTAATGACTTTACCCTCCTTTTAAAGTTTAATTAGAATGCAGGGGGATAAAGAAGACCAGTTTCCTAGATATCTCAGTTTCAGTGGATGGGCAGAATCTTATTATAGTTGTAGGTTCTTTGATGAAAAAGGACCTTCTTGGTTTGAGGTCTTAGTTGTTCCCTCCCTTCACTCTGGGAAGGAACTATTCCCTGACTCTGTCCCTTACTTTTCTTATGGGATGTTTATCAAGAATTGTCTGAATGTCATTCTAGCATGGGATCCCCTAGCTCTTGCCTTACAGATTCCATCCAAGAACAACTGTACCTTCTTCAGTGAGCATTTCTACAACAAAATCCAATGTGTAGCCAAAATTGTTCTAGAAATCTTGCCACAAATACATGCTCACTTTTGAACTTGCTTTCAAGGTACTGTTTTCCTTTTCCTTTTAGTACAAAACAATGGGCACAATTTACCATTTCTAATCAGAATATTTCTCTTCCTAATTGTTCTGTCTTAGCTAAGGTTTCTATTGCTGTGAAGAGACACCATGATCATGGTTACTCTTATAAAAAATAACATTTAATTGGCTGGCTTAAAGTTTAGAGGTTTGGTGTAGGATGTCCTTCTGTTTGTGTGTTGCTTTTATTAACCAATCAATAAAGAAACTGCTTGGCCTGATAGGGCAGAACT